ATTGTTCAAAATACCATATTACAACTTTTTTATATTTTTATTGTGTAGACACACATGGAATATATACAAAAGTATCAATTATATAATAAGTAAAAATTTGAAAATTCGATTTCCCGCGAAAACGCCATCACGATCATCACGTGACTCTTAGAAAACTAATATCGTTATATTACATATAAGAATATGGTTTAATTCTTTAAGTTCTGAATACTAGGAGAGGGACGTAACGTCACACGCTGGTTTGCGGTCACGTGACAACGAGTATAAAATTTGTGTTTTTTCATAATTAATATAGGCAATATTATAAATATATTAAACATATAAGTGTGACTATCGGTAATAGTACACTACCAGAAAAAAAATAATATGTATTTATTTTTGTTTACTGTCTACACCCGTATTGAAAGCAGATATTCGTGGAACAGATAGTGCAATTAATGAAAACTATGCGCGAAAGATTGAGTCGGCACCAGTCAGCTGATTTGATGTCGCAATTACGAAGTTTAACCAATTAGAAATAATTTTCCTATTACATTAAAATATTAGCTATAATTTACATGTCTACATTACATTACATGTAGATGTTACGAATTAATTATCAACTTCGTTTCCTGTATATAATGTACCTATTATACATTAGGTATCTTTGAGTCTTCACTCAGTTCTAAATTCATAAAAAAAACTTCTTATTGCTCAGAAAAATATCAGAATAAATGTACTACTTTATGACTGTTTTCCTGCTGTCTGCCTGTGGAACGTCAGAGATCCATTAGTTTTGTCTTTTAGTAGTGTTCTAATTACATGTTTTTATTTATCAATGAAAATGCTCAATATATTACCTAACGTAATTATTACTTTGAGTTGAGTTGAGTTTATATTACTATAGTTATTCAAAATATACGAACCAATTTTTTATCAACCTACTTTGCCACTAACTGGTAAATCAGAATTTTTATTACCTTCCAAGGTAAGCACAATATTTAATTCATGATACGTTAATCTTTACATTAAAGTGCTTAACTATAAATATAATTTAGAACAGAAAATATTTCACCGAATATTGAAAAAGAAAAATACCTGATACAAAAACTAAGCCGAGACGTTTACTTATGAAGTGTCCATGAATTAGATCGTGCGCACCAGACGTACCTATAAACCATTTAAAAGGTTTTTTGCCCCAAATTCTATTACGAGACTCGCTGATTTTTCGGTTCAAAAACCTGTACCTTTATTTCAACGTTTCACGGAACATTCAATTCTCGAGTTAGCAGGTATTTTTTATTTGCAGGTACTTAGATAATTATAGTAAAGAAGTGACATTGTGGTTTTGATCGTTTTTTTTAATTGTATATGTCTCAGATCGCTCGGTTGTTTCCACCGAAACGAAATTCATCATTAAACACTTAATCACTTAGTACTTAACTAGTATATAATTTTCCTGAATACTTTTTATGAACATACTGGTATCATCATTGTTTGATACCTATCTATCCATTGCTGGGCATAAGCCTCCAACTATAAGTATCCTGTCCTGCGCCGCCCGCATCCAGCAGCTGCCCGCGACCTTTATTAAATCTTCGGTCCACCTGATTACCCACGAAGTGTCACGCTCAGAAGTATCCGTATAACAAATTTCATCAAAATCCGTCCAGAATTTTTGTTCGTGAAAGAGTAACAAACTTACATCGATCCTCACCAACTTTCGCATTTATGTTATAAGTGGGATTGTGTAACAATACCCTATCGTCCGGACAGTATCCACAACAATGTTGTTTATATTTATAAAACTGTGGATTAGATCGTCCACATTAAGCTGTTCACAAGCGCTGCGAGGTGGATCTGAAAGTCGAGTCGAAAGCTCTCGGGGTTTCGAATTTGTGCAGGCATTGGTGGGAGAGTCGATTTTATCAGTAGGGATCTTTCAAATTTGAAGTTAGTATTCATGTATACATGCTTCATACAAATCAATGATAACTTCCTGTTTTAACGGCATTGATCACATACACATGAATTTCTTTGATTGCTAAAATTGTGAGATTTATTCGAGCGTCCTTATCAATTTTCAGTAACCAAAATAATAGGAAAAAATTTCAGCTTTTTTTAGGTGGCTCCTAATAAGGGGTAAAAATCGCGCGGGGTTTAACGCCGTTTCTGTGGAGCTTATAAAGTTGAAAAAAATAAGTGTCTATTTCTTTACACACATCATACATATATATGGTATAATCAGTCAACCAATTGGCCGGCTAGCCCTTTAATTGAATGGCGTCATTCAGTTTCATTGACGGGTTAGCCGCCCAGTTGGTTGGCTGATTATATCATTTGGCTGCGACATAAACAACATATAATAACAATAAAAACTTTGTAGTTTCATGTAGATAGATCGCTTAAATTGATCATGGGAAAGGTAGAATTCAGAAAATTATTGTTATAGATGGAAAGACTTATGTGTGTAGGTGTCGATCATTCGCCCACATTTGTACAACAGTCACATATTGCAAACAACAAACGAACACAAATTTGTCGTTTATGAATAGTTCAAGGAATACAATAGCCTAAACGGTTGCTCAAATCGCAGCACAGTGTGCAATGTGTATATGTGCAAGGGAGTTAATAAATAAATTAAAAATGGTTTATTGGTTACTAAAACAAACGAACTATTTACTAATTCAATAAGACTTAGTAAATAGTTCATACTTTAAAATAAAAAAGATATAATAAATAGATAAATAAATGTATTTAAAATAAAACAGTAAATATAGTTAAACACTATAGCATAATTAAAAGTAAAAAGGATATGTTATATACTTACATAATATAATTAGTTCCAATTTGGTATAATAGATGGCAATTACCAATTGTGAATCGCGTTATGGTTTAATTTTCACACAATTAATATATATAATTGTTATTCACAATTAAAAGGTTTGGCCTATGTACACCACGTACGTACTAAATAAATTTTATAGCTAAACTTTAGTCTCTTATTGTTCATAGTTTGTTTTAACATAAAGTATATTGCGCCTTTCTGCAATATTATATTTTTATTTTCTTTGTTTATAGGATTTCTATTGTGTCTTACAAAATGTCCCACATATTTATGCTTTTAATAATTATTCGTAGTGACATGTATTATAGTAACCTGAGTGAGATTTTTCTGGCTTGTCATCATCCAGTTGAGATGGATCTTACATAGAATGAAAAGGCCGAATGTCATTACATATAAATATGTACCGACCCTTGAATGTTCTGAATTATGCAGCTTTATAATATTTGCTCTATATTATATTATACATTCGTTCTTAAGTTTGACTTTTTAAACCACACGTTCGAATCCATTTCATCGAGAAAATGGATATAACTCTCCCAAGACCTTGACTGTTATCCTGACCACAGGTCCGGACAATATGGTGACAATAAACTAACCTAAAAGCAAAGCCTTTGTTGTCCAACGTCGATATCTTGTGGTCTCTAGGCAACTGTTTTACGCACGATTTATATTATTTTGAAGTCACATGTTATTAACTTATAAAAGGATAGTCGAAAGCTATCCCGGTTTAATTTTCTGCATATAAACATTTATAGTACACTAATGTTAAATGAACAGAAAAATAAGGAGGAAGTTTCATAAATATAAACAGTAAAATAAGATTATGTAAAGCATTTTTCCATAATAGGCCTGTGTCCTACAAGTGAAAAAACAGGTTTCTGTTATATGTACGGAAAATATGGACCATTTTTACTGGTAAATATATGTGATTTTCAGTCTTATACTTTCAATTCTAAAAGATGAAGCTTTTATGACGAAACCTAACCACTAAAATATATTCAGAAATAGTTTGATTTTGATTTTTTTTATACAATTATCAGTTTTCAGTGTTCAATTTTTTTTGTCATAAACAGTTGTCGTTCATTTGTCATTTGGAAAAGTTGTTAATGACGTATGGAGTGACTACACTTTAACTAACTATGAAGCAAAACTACTTAAAGCCAGAGCTTATTAAAACAGTGCTTTTGGCACTGACCCTGTTACTTGGCAAGCAACAGGGTGTGTGTGGGACTCTTCTCCGTGAACCCATCCGAAAGCCTCTTCTCTTGTGGGAGATGAGTCCCGGGAAGCCGATGCTGAGTCACCAGGACACTCATCACTATATTGAATATTTGGCCCACTCGCAGAAGCTTTGACTGAAGTAACCTCACTAAACAATTCTCTTCTTTTAATAACTGATTTGTTTTCAGTCAGTCATCGAGTGGCCTGGCATTAGATTTATATAAATAGAACGTTTTAGATAGCTAAGTATGAATATCGCTATACCTTCGTTACTGACTGTCTAAGAAATAATATATGAAATGATCGTGATGAAATCTGGCCCATATACCCTATATACATATATCGCAGGAGTCAAGAAAAATTTTACAAATCAGAATGTCAGATTACCTCAAAATGGCTTTCCACAGTTTATTTGAACTCTACCTTCAATGCATTAAGGTGATAAATGAAGTTGAAAAATAGTTTTGTATAACCTGACGTGCTGTTGACTGTACACCTATTACTACATAAATCTCTTTATGTAGGTAAAATGTTCAAATAATTTAGACACCTTATTTATCTGTCTATTTAGGTAGACAGGTAGTTAGTAATAATTAATAATTGTTGTTTATGTCATCTTTGTAGTATGAATTTTTGATTTCGTTTCATCCATTTTACATTAACTTATCTGTATTTGTTTTATCTACATCTGAAGTTTTTAGTAGTTAAGTGGGTAGGATAAGTAGGTACCTATCTACCTGCTCCATCCTTGGAATTCATCCTATTTTGTAAATAGTATTTAGAAAAGGAAGGCAGAGTAAATACCACGAGGCGCGAGCGAGCAAGAGAACGGGTTATGTATTATTATTTTAACGTCGAATCGGGAGAAACCTGCGTGCGGGCCTCAACAGCCCCGCCCCCGTCCCGCTCCCCGCCGATCATATGTTCGCCGGCCGGGCACATGCCATTCGCTCACTGCGACTCGGGCGTTCGCCGTCGCAACACAACGTACCGTTTGACGCACGCTACTCGCCTGCGCACGATCAGCTGTCTGCATAAACACGTCGCCGTCATCGCGAGCTAGCGCTAACCATCAATAAGCCGCAGTGCGGTGTGAAATGGAGCTGCTGTGCGCGGAGCATGTGAGCCCTATCAGTGAGGGCGAAAATACAGGCACAGCTAGGGCGGTGCCGCAGGTCGCCGTGCATGACCCGGTGCTGCTGCGGCGGCGCGTACTCGACAACCTGCTGCGCACAGAGGAGCGGTACGCCGTCACCGCCAATTACTTCGGCACCGTGCAGACCGAGATCACCCCCAACATGCGCCGCCTCGTCGCCGAGTGGATGCTTGAGGTGAGCGCACCCGCGCATGCCGCACCCACTCCGCCCGCACCACCCGCGCTGCCCGAACGATCGCCATTTTGTCGCGTTTTCCGGCCACGTGTAGGTACAGTCCTGAAGGCGACGACGGTGGCACCCGTATGCCATGGCCACCGTCATCGCCTGCTGGCCAGCCAACCTTCTGAACAGGAAAACAAGTGACCCTATTAAACTCTTAGAGTCAAAACATAAAAGTCGTGATGATGTGTCAGTGTCTATAGAATTGTGCTGTCCTCAAACGGTGAGTGGCTGGGCTTATTATACTAGTATGATTTTGTTTACATGATCAGCTGATTACGTTTCTGAGTAGAATCTTATCAGAATGTTATAATAATTTGATAACTTTCAACTTATGTCAGAAAATAAAAATAATTAGTTTACTAATATTATTCACTATTACCGCGTGTAACTGGCTAACCGTTGTCCGTTGGCGTATTACCTATCTGATGATGATTCGATCGTCGCGAGTATATCCTACGAGGGGCCCCGGCGCAAGGAGGCGCGCGGTCGCCGACCGATGCGGCTTGCTCGTTCTATTTGAATAATCAGCTGATTTTGACATACTCAGCTGACGCCGACCGGACGCGCACTATTATCTTGTGCTCATAAGTATTATACCTACATGGTGCAGATAATTATGCGCTATACCCATCCATAATAAAAGGTCAGCAGTAATCTAATGTAATTTAGGGTTCTATTGAGTTCAGGGCTAAATACATATTCAACGATAGTCATTTATGTAGACACAATAATGAAGATAGGGAGGTAGTAAGTTGTAACAATGAAGCAAGTGTCACCTATGAATGCTATTAAAATAAATCAGCTGTGAAATAGCAGTGAGGCCACGTGGAGCCGCCGGCCGGCAACGGTGACCGACGGATGACGTCACGCAAGACTGCTGAGTATCGGCCGTCTTGCACTGCAATGCACACTGCAGTGCGGTGTGGGTACCAAGTCACCAGTCACATGCTATGTCAGCATCAGCAGACCGAAACGTTAACACACTGCACGGTCAATGACACCATCTATAACTTCATCTTCGTTTTAACATAATGTTTTAATTGACTCGTTTAAAATCAATATGGTGAATAAGTAAATGTGCCGATAAATATCCGTTGCGTTATTTATGGCCCCATACAGTCTGAACGTTTTTTTTAAATTAATGCTCTATAGTAGTTCTAGTGACAGGACAGTGACACTTTATACATACCAGTAAGTAGACTATTATTTTAAAATTAAATCTACTTAGGTGTAGGTATTTTCATAATGCACTAGAATAAATGTATATTCATTGAATTAGTACCTGAATCAGCTGACAGAAACGTGAAACAGTCAGCTGTGTCCAAGTAGGTATGTCGCATACGTAGATGATATAATTTTCTATTCTCAATGTAAAGCACACTGCACTGCACCGATGAGAGGCCACATCCGCCGCATCGTGTTACACCAACCGTGCGAAACTGCCCCAACAATCAAGTAGCATTGTCGTGAACGTGACACATCTCTCATGCAACTACACCACTTTATCAACCTACCTTATTAGCTACTTAAATAAATATCTTTCACTTCTAGACCCCTTTATCGCTTTATACACGCTCTAAAAATATTTTCATTTGTATTAAAACACAAGACCATATAAAATAAAATATAAGTATAAAATACGCTTTCTTGTGAAATAAACATCTTCGTTAAATACTCATTCATAATATGTAAGAAACTGGTATTAGGGTCATTTCCGACGTTCAAATTAGCTACTTGCGTATAACTACAATTCCTGCCGATAAGAAAAGTTACTGCTGAAAAGCAATGCGCCTCGTATTATCGCAATAAGCGTGTATTTCAATTTATATATAGGTTATCGGGAATTCCGTACGATAAACGCAACATAGACTGGGTGCGGCTTAACTAACTTAATTCTAGGAATTGTAACTATTGCGGTCTATTTGAAACTTAATTGAGTTTTTTTTCAGGTATGCGAGGATCAAAGTTGCCAGGAAGAGGTGTTCCCATTGGCGGTGTCCTACTTGGATAGGTTTCTAAGCGTGTGCGCGGTGCGCAAGAGTCAAGTTCAGCTGTTGGGCACCACATGCTTGTTGTTGGCGTCTAAGCTGCGAGAACCAAGCTCACGGTGTCTGCCTGCTGAACTACTCATCTTCTACACAGCTAATAGCATTACTCTCGCAGACCTTTGCGTAAGTATTTAAAGCTACGATAATATATTCATAGATTATAGAACGACTTGCAAAATCATGTTCTTAATTTGATTGAGAATGGTAATAACGGCCCGAATAAAACTCTTTATGCATACTGCATTTCTCTTTGTTGCCCACAATAGTTCTGCTCTAAATGGCGAATATTGCTAATATACTTTCCTCGTGTAGACTAACAGCTGATCTTAATTAACCATGCGTTTCATACGGCTGTTTTTTACAATCCACGTGCATCTATCCATGGATCTTATGCGGAAAATGTAAGCGCATTCGTGTCGTTCTGAAACAATGATTTCTGTAACTGTTGTACATCCGCGAGCATAACATATTCATGGTTTGTAACCAACATTAAAATGGCATTCATACATTAATAATTTTAATTTTAGCTTTTTATCAACGTATTTTATTAAAAGCGGTTTTACGTTAGTCTTTCTTTTAATGTTTTACGTTTTCAACGTTTAAACACCTACAGAGATATTAATAGTATGTTTGAAAATAAATTGAGTTCTATTATTAGATTACCACTACCACGTAGGTATCACAGAAACTAGAACATTATCTGTGTCTATTGGAATAGAACTTAAGTAGGACTAATGATCAAATGGTTAGTTCTTGCTAATTAATTTGTAAATTAGAATTTAGATCGTTTGATCTTTTTTAATAGTGAAGATTTAAATACACAGTGAGTTAAAAATAACCTTATATAGAAATATATTTTTTCCATCGAATTAGTAAAAAAAATCGTTTGTGTATGCATCGGGCGATGCCTACACGTAGCGTCTGTCGCGAACGCCACCCGGCCGGGGCCCCGCCAGATAGTGAGTGCACACCGACTCTTTACATTCGACCTGTTTTGTAAATACAGTCGCAAGCGCAGGAATGCACTTGTGTTCTCATTAGGCTATACTTAAGAATACCTAGTCCACGTTATGGTAAGTTTACTTTCAAATGAGCTTTAATATCTTAAATTAATCGCATAGATCCGATATATTCATGCGTGTAGGTACGAGTATTTATGCACCTCTATATTGTAATGCAACGGTAGTACGGTACGACGGTAATCGGTGTACAGTGCAACGTATCTAGAACGTTTCGAACACTTTGCTTGTGTTTTATAATTATTTATCAATTGACTTAACTTTTTGTGAAAATGTAAACTTTCATATCCTAATAAAATTAAATTTTAACACACACATTCGGCCATCCTTCTCATTAGGTCGCAATTGACCCAGAGATTTTTCATTTTCAAATTGAAATTAGAGGTTTATTTTTTGGCAAAATAATTACATGCCTACTAGGTACTATTGCTATTGACAATATAATAAAAGTTATTGTTTTTGGTTAGGAGTCGGTTACACGAAGTCTTCGAAGATCAAACTAGGCATTCTACGATATAAAATTTATGATTTTAGAGACCAAAATATTCTTAATTTTGCTTAAGTCATTCGATAAACTCTATTTTGTTATATACAATCTATTTAATATGAGAATGTTTTCTAGTCGCATACGGATCGTTTACACATCGGTTATATAACTTTCAATCCCGAGTCAATGTAAATAATTGTACCTTTAGGCACAATGATTTACATGCAAATTTTGATATTATGAAGTAGGCGTTTAAAAATGGTCTTGGAATGCGGCTACCCCGTGAACCGTCCGTGAACATTGTCCCCTAACGAGCCGGCAAGTTTCTCGGAAGAACGAACGATCCGCGCGTTTCAATCAGTCCAATTACAGAGGAGGCACGTTGCTTATTTTTTCTCACGCCGCCGCACCGCCCCGCGTCGGCGACCTCTACGCGAGTATTCGACACTACTGCAATAAAATAAGATCACCTATACAATAATTGTATTATTAAAATAACTTTTGCGTTACGTTTTGGCCGCTTCGTTTTCGTTTCTTCGAGAATCTCATATCAATTCGGTTCGGATTCGGAGATACTTCGTTTAAACTTCCGCGATTATAAAAATTAAGAATTAAACTGCATAAGCACGTAAAATATCATAGTTAATGAACTGGTTTTCAGTAATCTGATCCCTATGAGTTCTGAATCTTGTTTGGAAGATACCTTAAACAGTTGAATGCTTGGATGAAATGAAAATATAAGTACAATAAGAGATCATATTACGAAAAGAATTTCTTCCAATCAACCGTCAAATAAACGATATAAACACAATAACCGTCAAATAATAATAGATTGTTAAAGTTTAGATCAACGGTTCCAATCGCAGAACACAAAAGAGGCGTGTTCTGGTTCCAATTTTTTCGAGCTGAAACCCTATAAAAAAAAAGTTACACGAAGCCGTAAAATAAACTTAGCTTAATTTTTACTGTGTTATATTAATAATGAATTAGATACCTGCGTAATTTATTTTACCACCGAACATTTACCGATATATGAACAATATTTCTGTGGACCCCAACATTTGCTTTGCGTAGCAGTGGACCCAAAGCTCTGCTTTAGGTAAAAGAATAACACTAATTATTTTGTTTTAAATCTTTTTTTTTAGCGTTTACTAATAGTTAAAGTCACAGAACAGGAAGACGAGTTTAAAGTTAATAAGGTTGCGTTTCTGCTTAGGTGTCATATTTGTATTAAAGTCATTTATTTATAAGTTCTTTAATAAAAAAAAGAAATTCTATCGTACAAACATTATTTTTATAACAATTTCTAATAAAGATTTTTCGATCCACTTTTTTCATCTCCATGTAAAATAGTGGGCACCAAGCGCACTCGTCCGCGAGTCGGCATGTATAAATAATTGCTGAGTCACACGCGATTATAGCACTACTGCGGAGATCTATACTGTAATATCGCAAAAGGTTTTTATGAATATTATATAACTGGGTGTCTCCGTTGCTATTTTATAAAATAATCCTTACGATTTTTTTAAGAAAGTTACGTTTATTATTGAAAATTAGCTTTATGATTAGTAATACTAGAAGAGAATATTACTTTCAAACAATGATTTAATTAAAATAAGAAACGTAGGTTCGACAAAAAATTGCACTAAATGAAAATCAATGTGATATAATTTGATATGTCCTCATTGGTAAAGAAGGACCAATGTAGCCGTAGTCACTCAAAGCGATAACAAAGTTAATAAATTACACAACATTTATACAAAGACGAATGTAAATCGAATCATTTAATTGTTTTAAAAATAAGTGGGAATATACATACTAATAAATACCCTTCCAAACACTGTTGTAACATGGATAAAAAACAACATTACTAAAATAATAAGATTATCAAACTACAAAACCACAATGTTGAATCCGTAGCGAGCTCGTAGCACTACTACGGAAACCGTAGTAAACATCGTAAACCTCAAGTAACTTGTAAGTCTCGGCATTTTATTTACTCATTTTTTTTTACTTTACTGACTATAAAATTCATATTAAATACAAATTAATGTTATTGTTTAGTTTAGATAGTTTGAACTCCGTAACGCTATGTATTGAATAAATAGATTTATTTTAGATAAAATTAATAACTATATGCACTTAACAAAATTATTATGATGATTCAAATACCGCTATATTGATAATGTTGATTGTGAAAAGTATCCAATTTCGTAGTCGAAGTTAAGATTGTTTTTTGTAATTTATATGACCTTAAGTTCCCATGAGAACATTCGCAATAAAGCCCCTTATATAAAAAGTTAATTTTCTTAAAAATTTGTATAACGACACATAAAAACACAAAACTCCTGCGATTCCAATCAATAGCGAATTACGTGTGCAGAAGCATCTAAAATATTTTCTTTTAATTAATCAAAAACTATTAAGATCTAGCCTATTCTAGAGTATCTGAAAGTGACTCGCATAATTATCAATGTTCACTTTTAAAATATATATGGGGAGGTATCGTTGAATTTGAAAGGAAACTTCTTTTGTGATCTTTTAAAAAAATCTATACACTTAAGTTCTTAGCTATAAAGGAAGTAATCAAGAAATATTATTTATTTATTCATAAGGTCACAGGCTTGGCATCAATAACTCTTATTATTCTTTAGATTATTTCAGAAGAAGAAAGAATCCTAATTGTCCTTTGTGTTTTCAGTAATATGTCAATCAGTTGCTTTTTAATTAATTTAGTATCCATCCTCGGTCTTCGGGTATAACGCGTCGCTTAGGGTTGCCTAATCGAAACGAAAAATATCATAACAAATAAAAAAAATCTTATTCTAGTAATATTGTCGAGATAACTTAATATTAGAAAACACTTAACGATTATAGGAATAATCTATTAACTTAGTTTACTTTTAGTCTTTATTTTTTGCCTTCCATAAAAGTGATGTCAAAGTGCTTACCTATGTGCAACTTTAAGTTCGATCCATGTTCAATCTCACTAAAGATCTGTTTGGTTTGACTATTCGGTATTAAGAAAGTTTTAGAACAGGAGTCCTATCCACACTTTGAAAAACTGTTTATCGTTACATTTTAATATAAGAATTCTTAGTTACCCTTTACGAAAGTAGGAATATCAATAAAAACATTTGTCGTTTTTGCTTGATAGGAATACGAATCGCATTCGAAAAATTTTTCGTGCCAAGGATAATTTAATTGCAGAGTAATAATCTTATACCAAATTAAGTGCTCAAAGTACCTATTTGGGTTTGGTGGTTAAAAAAAACTCGACATTAATTGTCGGAACGATCCAGACGTATCCCGACGTGCTCAGCCCTAGAGCGGTCCAAGTGCGGTCCGACTGGCTTTTCACTCGAGACTCCAAGCAAAAAGAGTACGACCGGGTATGTTCCCGCGCTCGGCGACCATAAAAGCGCACTCTCACACACAACACAACTCACCACCGTAAACGTTTATTATAATTGAAGCATACGTTTACGAGTTGCGGCGCTGTTTACCAAATCAGAAAATTCAATATCGACGGCGAGACGGCTCATTTATCCTACCTCAGTTTTAATATTGTTCGATTGCTGGATAATTATTAGTTGATTCGACCTTTCTTTATTGAAATACTCATTACATTATTATTATGAACATTCTTTAACTTTTAGTCGGTCGTAAATAGGTGTTAAAATCATTCGTGTTGAACACAAATAATTGAAATATCTATTGTGCAATACTTATATTACAATTAATAAAAACATATGTAGTAAATAAATTGTTTATATTTAATTATTAAGTGCATTGAACTCGTAAATCTGACCACGCGATAGCAACTTTATAAATCAAAGAAGAAATCGTAACGTTTTCTTTTAACTTTAAAGTGACGGAACATCTATTAAATCATGTATTAGTGGATTTAATTAAACTTTATAATCTGAATTTAAAAGAAAGCAATATTTAATTCTTTTTAATCCGTCAGTCAAATAATAGAAAAATATTAGATACTTATTTTTTTACTTCAGTTTAACGAGAGATAGGTTAGATAACAGGCATTAAAGTTGACGAGTTGGGGCTCGCTACGTCACAGTTTTGTAGAAAATGTACCAAAGCGTGACTTCATGTGACATTTTAAGTTATATATCGCCGTAATTTAACAGTAATGATGAGTTCTAGCATACATAAAATCTGGAAATCTTATCTTATAAACTTTAATTCTTAAAATGTCTCTATTTTACTTAATATTTTACAGTCTACTACTTAATTACATAAGTATTTGTGCATCACAATTTAAACTTGAGAACTATTGTTTAACTTAGACATTACCACACCACAATTCCATTTAAAACGACTGTGTAATTATCCTTAACGCATTGGTTTACGTTTCGCACAGTATATTTGGCCATAAGCATAAGTAAAAGGAAATGGAGGCTATTGTTATAATGTAAGGAAAGGAATGAAGTATGTTTGTGTGAGCGTTTGTTTGTGGATCTCACGGCGCATGACGCTCATACTACTCCAGCTTCCGCCATGATACCAGTCGGCCCACACTCTTAACGGAAATATGATCAAATCTATTATGATGATCTTACAATATCATCGCTTTTTTAAGATTAGGATCTTTACATAGGGATCATAAACACGTTTAAGGTCTGTTCATAAAAATTATATTACTTATGTAATTTATCGTTGAATTATAGTTTAACGAATGCCTGCTATAGTAATAAAAGTTTAAATGGCAGATACTAGTCTGACAACTCCTTCGATGCGGGCAACGTGACCGCCGCCCCAGAAAAAAAAAAATGAAAATTTGTGGTTAGGAGATTCTCAAGGCGACTGCGACTGGCCTTTGTGCCACAGCTACTTGTTACCGCTCTCCGGTACTTAAGTACACCAACTTAAATATTCATAATAACGATCACTCGATCTTTAGATTTAATTATTTACACAACTCCCAGTCGAAATAGATTTATTGCCTAATCACTTAACAAATATTCGCTGATATGGCTTGCTTACGTAAGCCTTATAATATTTTTGCATGCCATTCACGTTTACCACACTCGTGCAGTTTAGTATTCAACGCTTACCCGACTGGCTTCCGACAGATAAGTATCATGAGATTAAGAGAAAAACTTCTGAAGAGTTTGCTGTTGTAAGTAGCATTTTGTGGAATTTCTGTATAAGTTCTACCTACCGTTTTACCTAATATAAGTGGTACAGAGATGTAATTCTGGTATGGATTTAATGAGCAAAGTTAATCGAAGTATCGTTTCTCGTATGTGTACTGGGTATTAATAACGAATGCCAGGCTGGCCGGTTATGCGCGTTCTTATCCGCGTCTGGAAAATTCCAATGTTGTTTAGTCTCAGGAGCGTAGTGGCCACGCGACACCACCCTCATTGTTCGATTTTAACAGCGACGCAGTCACACCGTTGACCGTTCGATGAAATTGGATAAAGCATGGGAACCGAGCACGGAATTCTGCGAGTGCGTCGCGGGCGGCGACGGCTGTTTGCATAGCTCGCTTTATTGGCCGTAACGCGGCTCAATAGCCACTGCCGCGCTCCACCTACTCTAATGAACACCAGCCCTTAAACTTAGCTGCATTCCACGAGCCTTGGGAGTCGGGATCAGCGCGTAACTAATGCCTGCTGCATAGGTATTACACAGGTACGCTTCGAGCTCAGCTGATAGGGGCTCTCTCATACGGGATGATGTCACATATTTATCTTACATTATTTTATTGGATAATAGTAATGCGTAAACGTATCTGTATGGCATCTTGTGCGACGACGCTGTATCTGCGGTGCCGTGAATACTTTATGAGCGCATTGTTTTCAAGTGCTTCAACCGGTTGCAGCTTCTCCCGACCCAAAGGCAGTTACGTTTCGCGGTCGACCCGCATACCACAACACAGTTAATAGCTTTTACTCAGCTTAATATCTATTGAATCAACATAGCAACGATATCTGTGAAAACCAATTGTTTACGAATTAAAACGTGAGTCTTACACGTTTAAATGTCTACGAGTTCTCCACAAAGCAACGCCTCATACTGACACGCAGAGTTATTTCTACTTCCAGTGATGAGACTTCATTCATTCACAAACTGTTCGATTTAAAAGCGAAATGTATTAAAGACATTCGATTGCTGAACCAGATCAGACTCTATTGCCATAATATGAGATATAAAGTTCCACGCTGTGGATGTACAGGCGTGTAGTGCGCCCGTCGACCCCGTCGATTGAGTTAAGTAAACATAAGTATTATCTGTCAACGGACATGCATCGCTTACGTGTATGTGTACACTCTATAATCGAGTTATTCATAAAATTGACCATCCTGATATCAGCAATGGTTATGTGCCTACAAGTTTAGTTAATAATGTTAATTAATTTAATCTAGGTCAATTTTATTTGTGATGGCGAAAGAATAACACACTGATAAAATGTGTGTTAGTAAAAACTAGATAATGTATTAATTTATTCAATACAATATTTCTCAAGTTATCATTTATGAACTTTTGCATTAATTAGATCGATTAGGTTTAAAATATAAAATGTCTTTAAATAATTCTTATGGTGTAGATGAGTTTGTCTTTTCTGAGGTTTTGCAACACACATACCTAGGTTATTTATGCGTTTGATTGTACTATACAACAATGTGTGGGTTGTAATATTACGCGCCGTTCCGGGAAGTCGAGCGAAACTTGGTATGTTTACGATTATAGGACGGATGTAACAGCGGGCGTACTTTATTGTTCCAACAGTTAGCGCAGGGACTCGAAGCTTTCTTATAACAGTTTAAATCACTTGCTTTCCTATTTTTTTTACTGCAATATCCAAATTACGTACCCAACCGTTTACCCAATATACCTACGTTTACTCAAAGCGGTGCTATTAATAAATAAGTTTTAGCGTCAGAGTAAATTTACGCTAAAATTGCAATTTTAGTATTAGTCTAAATTCGTATTATACAGAGAATAAGCAATCCTACTATCTTCTGGGAGTTAATACCTATTACTCCCGTAGAACCTCGTACTAGGTTAACCTTTACTAAGTCTCTGTTTAATATTATGAATTTTGACTAATACGAAGTGCAGTCTCAGCATAAATCTTAATAAACCTTGTTTATTAATAACACTAAAAAGGTTTTTGGTTATTTTTCATATAACTGCTCATTACTAGTATTATTTCCATACTTGCATGAGCTTTTAAATACCTACGTGAAATCTTAAATGCGATATGTCAGATGATGAAATGAGGCTTATATGTGTTAGTATAAGCAACACATTATTAAATGAATTTGAAAAAAAAACGAATGATTGACAGATGATTTAATAAGCTATTTTCCTATTGTTAACAGAGCTGGGAGTTGCTGGTGCTATCCAAGCTGAAGTGGGACGTAGCTGGCGTGACGGCACACGATTTTCTCCCACTTTTGCTATCCCGACTACCACTGCGAGGGCTCGTCAATACTGAGATGGTGCAACGTCATGCGCAAACTTTCATCGCCCTAGCCGCTAGAGGTAAGCTATCCCAAGCTGGGCAATCAAATTAGGAATTTGTTTTTAATCATTCAGTAGTTGTCACTATAGATATTTTGATGAGCCATCTTCAATCGGCGGTTTTTCAGCATGTCTGAAGTTATTTCATGTCGAAAGTTAATTATTTGAGCGTAGCTTACACACTACACTAAAAGGCAAAGAAACACGATAATACATTTTCTACTGAAAACCAGTTTTTTAACTCATTGTTTATAACAGAAAGTAATTAGCATCTAGATATCACGTCATGTCACGACGATGTCTCACTCAACCGTCGTCTCCGTGAAGTCAGTGAACTTTATAGTTAACAATGTGGGAAGTCCAAGAAAATGAGTTTTTAAAAGGTGGCCTGTCTTGGCACTCACTCTATTGAACACGATATATAATATAATATTCTTATTTGTTATAATAGGTAATTACTAGTAATATTTCTATTCGGTTTAATACTTCCCAATTCCTCGTAGACAGACACTCTCACCTTATTTAAAACCTTATATCCATCGAGCAAATCTCATTAAAGTTTAAAGAGGTTAGCATTCTGAGAATGGTAAAGTGTCAGCATCCGTGGCTCGAGCCGCAACGAGATCAGAATAGGTTTGTTTACAGCGAGGGCTGGGGCGGTGTGTGGTGTGCGCCCGCGGCGGTGCCTCCCACGCCGCTCGCCCGAGCGCATTCCAGCACGCCTCGGGACTCCCCCGCCTACCCCGCTACCCTCATGGGATCATATGTTTTTGTGCAACGGTTTTTGTGGTTCGCCGCCGCTGTCTTGTTGTTTTTTCGCTAGAGCAATTCACGCTCCAGCTCTTTTCACTCGCTCCTCTTATGTCGTTGCAGTAGAAGTATTAACTTAAATTGAACGAATAAAACAAATACTGGAAATGAGGTGCACTTAGCTTACAAATACAAAAAAATAGAATATTTTATTAATACCAAAATGTTATTTTTCCTTTCGTTAATGTAGGCAATGAAAATATTGCACTAAGTACATATTTGTAGCAATTGCCCTAAAGGGTCTAGCTCAATGTAGACAAGGATCGAGGTGGTCGAGGCGGGTGCATACATTTCGCAGTGTCGAGTAAGCCAGCATTATGTATCATTATATGAATGGCACAATTTACTCTCGAATAATAACTCGCCTGGATATTAAATTTGTAATGGGTTTATTTTAAGCTGACGTCTCGGAGAATTCTATAAACTACTATGTTTTTCTAAATTGCCGGTGAAAATGTACACATCTCTCATATGTGGTCGGGTTAGGCATTGCGCGAGGGCGAGTATCTTATCGGCAGTGGCGTTTTCACATGTGAGCGATTGTTGAGCGGGGCCGCGCGGGTGTTTGTTCCGGTGTGCGCTCAGCGGGCGCCCCGTGGCCGCCGCCGCCACCGCCGCCGCCGCTCGTTACTGAACGGCGGCCTCGCAAGAGCGTTCACCTTGCGAATAGACGTAGAGCAGTGCTACGAACGAACGCCCGCATCATCGCTGTCTGTTACCACATCTACTTCATGTTCAAGGGCAACTAAACTATTATGTCACCGGTGGGGTATGGTTTCTCTTTGCCGGTACCTACAATACCAGGGGCCGTCCGTTTTCACAATAGCCACTATACTTTAGTAGTATGTAGTTGGAACATGACAAATATAAAGCTGGCAATAAGTTGTGTAGTTTTACACAACTTATTGCCAGTCTATAATATTCTACACTATAAAGTTTTGATATGAAAAAATTTGGCAGTGCTTCTCATGGTTTTAATCGGTAAAATACCTAAAACATTCGAGACCAGCTATCAACGCTACGTTAAAGGCTCTACAACGACGGCATCCGCTACGAGCGTATTAGTGTCCATTTGACTTTATTCACTGATATAACAGAGAAGCAGTATGAATGCGGGGGGGGGCACGTCTCGTGTGATGGAGGCCCAGGTCAGCAGAGTTCTGCCGCCGCCGAGGCGGTAGGCCGATGTTGATTAGCATCAGATTATGCAAATACTCTGAGAAAGCGGCCGCTCTCGTTGTTTCGTCTCATTCTTTTTGCTCATCCCCTCCCTCGATGCCTTTATCTCCGGTATGCCGACATGCAAATGGAATAAAAATCTTTTAAATGAACTAAAAGAGTGTTCGATATCCCTATGTTGGCCAGTATAATAGTCTCTTAAATGATGAATGAGAGGCCCTTGATGGTCTCGGTCGCATTATGCGAGTCCTCGTATTTTTAATATGAGAGACTGGATAGGTCTCTTTATTTTTTCATTAACGTACTTTAACATCGTGAGAAAATCGGTGTCTTCTTTCTATAGCATTGTGTAGTACGTACACTAATGATGTATTGAAATACCTATGTGTTTTATTAATACAATATTTGCCGCATATGCTTTTAAAGGAATTAACTTAGGTATTAGATATATCAGCAAGGCCAAACCACTCACTTTCCTGCTAAATTATCGCAGTTCATATTATGACTGATAAAATGTTTAAAATATTGAAATTTGTGTGAAACTAAATAAATACATCAATAACTTACTTTATGTAATTAATATATATATATATGAAAGAAATTGCACTTTTTGTGTAATTTGAAATTCTAATTTCATTATCATAATATGCTTCTCACTTGAAAAAACAAATTATCTTAACATGAGACATGTCCAAATTGGTTCATGGTAGGTACAGCCGCATACATACATACATATAATGGGTTCGCCAAAGTAAGCCCGTGAGAAATATTCGAGTGAATCGGTTGCGCGGGCGCAGGCTGTGTGGAATGCGGTCGTGAGGGCTTGCTTGGATCGCCGGCTCCTTTGAGACTAAACTCTCCAGAGAGGGATTGACAATCTGCGCGAAAGAGAAAGAACATTTCTTTGCCGGATGCCTTTTCTAATATCTACATTGGCTGCATTATATATTTTTTTGCTTTTCACATTGAACTGCTATATTTAAATTGAAAAGTTAGATAACGGCTGCATTTCATACCTTATCAATTTGTAGTTGTATGTTTGAAACTGCCTTGCACGCAGAGAACCATTGCTCTCTAAAGCCGGAATTATATCTAGCCCGCAAAGAGCGCACTACATGTCAACGCGAGGATCGTTTCCGTTCAGTGTGTCCTTGTTATATTTTTAAGTTTAATATTAAATTACACACAAAACTGACTTGAAAATATTTTCATTGTTTTAGATTACCAATTTACATTGTACTCTGCGAGCTCATTAGCAGCTTGCAGCATCGCTGCGGCACTGCGCGGTCTCGGTTTAGATGGTCATATGGCTCTCTTACAAGAACTCACACGGATTGACTTGGTGAGTTTAATTTTACTCTTCAAGATCCTGGGATGTTATTATGAGAACTAAATACGATTCTTTAAGTGAATCAAGACCGATATTCTGTAATTCCATTTGAAAATTGCTGACGTATCGCATTAACGAAGAATAAACGATTTTTTAGTTAAAAAATAAGGTTATTTCGACTTCAAGATGATGATATCCCATGATGATACCTTCCACATTTGTAACCTTATAGCAATGGGGAATACAATAAATATAATTAATATTAGTCTCATAGTGTTATCTTTGTGGCAGGATTGTCTCCAGACATGCTTGGAACAAATCGAAGCGATGGTGGATAACATGATCGAAGAAAGATCTGTCTCGATCCCAAACGGTCAGAGCAGGGAGGCAGCGGGTTGGACCCCCCCTCCCAGCCAGGATAAGGCGCACAGTAACGCCGCCACGCCCACCGACGTCAGAGACGTGCACTTCTGAGGCACTACTGTGCGTCCAGCGACAAAGGAACTATTGCTTTAACTACGGTGCGTTAGTACGAAAATACTTTAAACTAAGACGTGCGTGCATCCATTATGGAGGACTGACACCAAGACTGACATTGGCACGTGTTTAACGTAGGTGCCTACTTACTGTATGTTCTTTAGGTTAAGTGCGCGTTTATTATGACGTAAGCTCTATTCTACGTGTCAAGACTACGACTAAGACAGCTTTAGATGTTTCAATATATCTATTCAACAATAACTAAATTTATTTCAACTAAGCTGAACCAATCTACGAACTATAACTAGGACAACGCTGAAAAGTTTACTAAGTAGTTTCAGGTGTAAAATGGTTCGAGATATTACAATCTACCTCTATATTTTTAAGACATTAGCTTCAAATTCATTTTTGCTATCGACTACCTTATAAATAGCTGTTACACATAGTCATTACATAGGCATTGTAATCGAATGGGACCAAAGTTAGCTCTTCGCAATATCTTGATTTCAATGATGAACTGATTTACTACTTCAGGAACTTGTCATTATTTTTAGTTAATATCATAGGACCTACAATAGTATAGTATTGTTTGTCAACGTCTAATTAAATTCCTAATTATATATACCTACTTAAGTAAGAAGATATTGATAAATAATGAATTTATAAAGTTCAATAGTTTGCTGTGAATACAGCAGTTAGTCTTTCGTTACTTCAAGTTTGTATTTTAAAATACAATACTTCTATCTGATTTCGTTTTTTTTTCGGGGGAAGGCAATAAATTACGCTTTATAATATTATAAAAAAATAACTAATATTATTTCATTTGTTATTATATTTATAAACTACAGAGTCGACTATAATAGCTGCGTTTAAAGTAACTACACCTCTCTCTTCAAATCTATAACTAAATATGTTATGAAATATAAATAGATAAACTAAACGATTCTCTTAATTATATAGGGGATTTAATTATAATTTTATAATCTTGTTCCTGTTTGATAAGAAATACCAACAATGAACTTTTATTGTGATAGATTTTAAAAGTTATCAAACTTCATATAATAGTCACTTTCAGTCATAATATGTTAACTTAGGAGTTTACTTTATAGGAAAAAAAAATTAAAAAAATGTGATTTAGGATCATTGATAAGTGTTTAGGATAGCCCAAATTAGTCATTTAAAACAGAACATCGTTCCTATTAATGCAAAAATTGGAGATAAATCATATGCAACAGTCAATAACAGTGCTAATTATTACTTTGTACTTAATTATAATTTCATCGATTAAATTAATCATTTGAATTCATGATTACTATTAAATTGTGATAAAATTCATGAGGTATTGAATAATACCTTTGTATCTATAAGTTTGATTGTAGATGGTATAATGGTACCTATATTGTACATATAAAGTTTGTAAATGATCTTGTATGATCATATAAGTTGTTTTAGTTGATTAATTGATATATTGACAAGGAATCACTCTAATGTCTTCCACTAGTTCATTAGGAAAACAGGCAATTGTTGTGGGTGAGTGCAACTAAAACATATATGTGTTCGGCTCCATGCCACGCCTGATTGTCCTAAACCAGTAAGCTATATGAGAAATATGTAGATAGGTATATAATGTACATACTGTAACATTAATTAAAAGTATGCTATAAGCATGTGGTGCCATAAGTAACACTACTATTAAAGTATTTTATAAAAGTAGCGATAAAATAATATGGCTTGAAAGGCATATTTTATAAACTAAACCTTTGAAAGCACTAAATAAATATATTCAGAATAAATGTTAATAATCTTATAATTTTAAGTTCATGTTGTTTTGGTTGTGGAATATGCCAACGCCCAATTATGTTGGATATATGAAGTTGACATTAAAGAAAATAGACATTTTTAATACTTAAGTTGTATGTAAAATTTTGTGGGAAAATATACGCATTACAAAGTTAGTCTTAAAAATTATTGCTTTGTTATTTGGCTTTGGACTGGCTTATTGATATAGTTTTATAAGAAATTTAAGTACTTTTGTTATGAACTAGTTTACTAGAAGCTTAGGGAAAATGACTTTCCTGTGATGTATGAAATAAGAGCATTCAGCTCAAACGTGATTATTGCTATTCATTGCACTGTACTAAGTAAAATTGTAAGAAGCAAGATTCCAATGTTATGACGTGGCGAAATGCGTAAGTTTGATTTTTATGTGATTATACAATAGATAACTAATTTAGTGTCTTTGAATGATTGAAAGGATGAGATGTAAATATTAAAAAAAGAAATAATAAATCACTTTAAAAATAACACCTATTTAATTAATCCAGCCCAAACATAACAGTACAACGTCAAAGTTTCAGGAGAAGGAATGAACGAGGTTAACAACAAAACTACATTTCAACATGATAAAGTTTATTCAAAAACAAATTTACAATGGTAATTTACAAGAGATCCACTTTCGGGATCCACTATATACATAAAATTATATATTATTTTTTAAATTAATGCCAACATACATTGTTGAACATAGAACTGAGGCCTCACCACGAATTCATAAACACGTAATACATAATATAGTGCTCAAAACTTGGCCGGTGCTACAAATGCCTGTTTATAGCGTTGTCTCACTTCAACGAACGCGTATGCATCGCGTTAAAAATCCATGGCACGAACTCTGATCAATGTTCGCCATTTTCACATCGGAGAAGGCACATTAGATTGAAAAAAAAAAGAATAGATAAAAGTAATAGAATTATTATAGAACTTAATTAGTATTAAAAAATAAGTTTGGTATACCAACAGAAATATTGTCAATCATAAATAGATAATACAGTTGATTATATTAAAAAAAAATTAAACTTATAGATTATAATGGAAGGAATGCATCGTATGTCGGCTCGCTCGATCGTTCTTACCAAATCATACCAATTAACGTCGGCATTAGTAACGTACGGTAATAGTGTTATCTGCTCAAATCGTAAATGCACTAATTTTGTAAAAAAAACTGAATAAATCAATAGCATGAATAGCTATGACCCATTCTAAGCTTCAGCCCGTAGCTTTATTATTATATACACATTGCTTTCATTTCAAACTATACACTAAATTCTGTACATTTACATATTATATATGGTATAATCACGTGATTTTAATCATATATAATACTTGTATGTCTGTGGAAATATATGACGAATACTACTACCGTCGTCAATATAGTTTCATGAACGGTATCCCCCAAGATTTATATTACGACTTTGGAAGACTATGTTAAGATTATAACGACAATCCATTTGTAATTGATAATCTTTGGTAAGTTCGTTTAAAGGCACAATTCATAAAATAATGTTTTCGCAAACATTTTACAATTGCGTCGAGTAGTGGCGGCAGTTATTTGACACAGATAAATGCAATGCAGTCTAGCAATAAACGCAACTAAAATTTAAACGGAAATCACTAAAGTATGGGACATCTTCACATTATCCCCCCATTGAAAGGCAACGTTTTGTTTAACCTATCGTTTCGTTGCTAGTTCACATATGTACCACTTTCGGTGTGCTCTTTCCTCGTAACCAGTTCAGAAGCACCGTTGAGGTACTTTGCGAATCTCGCGCTGTAACAGAAAGTAACATTTATAAATTTATTTAAAAATGATATGTTTAAAAATTTCTCCACTTTAATTTAAACCTTAACGTATTGAACTTTAAAGTATTAACCAAATGCCGAATATAATGTGTACAATCGGCAAATGTCGTCGAACGCACGATGTATACCTTTAGCACTTTAAAATACTGAAAAATCAAGCTTTCGAAAGCTCTTGCATATTTTTGCCACAAGCTCTCCGTCTAATAGAAATGTTTGTAATAGGCTTGTGTCCTACAGGCGAAAATACAGGTTTCTGTTATATGTTCGGAAAATATGAACCGTTTTAACTATAAATATTTAAGACAATAAAATGTATGACACTAATTAAAGTTAGGATTTGAAAACTTGAAAAAACTAGGGAAATATACTACAAAAATTTGCTGAAATACATATGACATTAAATTATTTACATAAAACCGTAACAACTTTCATAAAAGCAGCTACCTTGTATGTACATAAGTTTTGGTATAAACTTTTTAGTGAAAAAATAATAAAACGTTACTGGTTTTCTTTTACCGATCTTTAATTTGGAATGTTAGCTTTTAGTTTATTTGTATCGCGAATTCATTTGTTTTTATTTTCTCGTGATGGAGGGAACGAAACAATTACGTGCAACTTTCATTTCACTGTTTAAGGCGGGAAAAAAACCGATGCAGATTTTCCGCCACCTGAAAAGTTTTCCTTCCTGTAAGCCGTAACTTCGTCTATTACACAACACAACAGTACAAAGAGAAGTTCTCTGCAAGATCGCTAAAGGAGCGGTCGGCCAGGCTCTGTGAGGACATTGATTATAAAAAAAGTTACGCAACTTTTATTTTGTCTCAAAACTTATGAACATACGAGGTATAAACATAAACGCACAGATAACAAAGATATTACAAACATTGTCTAGACGCCCATACGTTTGTCGCTACCATAGCACTGTGTGACGTCACTTGGTGCCTTCAATAGGTATGTAGAGAGCATTTTCGGCCGTCTAGCAGCAGTTCCACAAACGGTACCGTATCTCCTAAACTATTAGTCGCAGACATACTGTTACTTCTACATCTTTTACCAGATATTAATGGGCTATTTATAAAAAAAAATATATAAAAAAGTTGTCAACTAGTCTAATCGGTTATTTTGAGAGCGCTATACTTACAGAGCGTATGATGTGCCTGAGCAAGTTGATCGACAGCTTCTGGCGGCAAGTTAGCTACATCCCTCTGCAACAAACGCAGGTCCATTTGCCGCTGTTCACTCTCTTGCCGGAGTCGCACGTCTCTACTATGTTTCACGCTGCGTAGTTCTGACAACCTAGATACATAAATCGAATCGCTATATTTTTGGGGTCTGGTTACAATGGCACATAAATTATTATCTATATATATAAAAGCCACCCCTCACCGCCACGTAACAGAAAATTTGTCTTATGCTTTACGAATCTAAGTATTTGTCAGTTTATATTGATACTCAATTAGCTTTCCGCCAGCGTCTTTGCCCGCGTGGTCTTGTATTATACATAAACACCTTCCTTTTGAATCACCCTATCTATGAAAAAAACTGCATCAAAATCCGTTGCGTAGTTTTAAAGATTTAAGCATACATATATAGGGACAGAGAAAGCGACTTTGTTTTATACTATGTAGTGAAAATATGAGTCGTCAGAAGCGTGGCTTATTTTATTTCTTGCATTTTTAACACGACTTGAAAAATTAATTTATTATCTCTGAACCATAGAGAGGCTTCCAATTGCGCGGGGCTGGTAACATTTGCTAATTATGCTATGTGGCTAAGCCGGTCCTAATAAATTCTTGGGTGCTGTTAACAATGGCACAAATTTTTTTTTTTTTTACTGTTTTAGTTAGAGAACGGTTTAATAGAATTATCATCACCATATCAGTTGAAGCATAGTGCCGCAATATGATTCAACTCAAGCAATGGCAAAGGTAGTTCTAAAAAGTTTCCTAATAAGTAAATACATCAACACAGCAAAAATGTAAATACTTACTTAGCTTGTAGCTTCGGTTTGTCTGAATCGACGTCGCTTACACTGCTATTACGCGAAGTTTGACCGCGATGTGTATCAACAAACATAGCTTCTTTTTCTATGCTAAAACTAGGTAGTTCTGAAACATTTTCTTGACTATCAGTAGTCATGTCTAATTCAGTAGATTTAAATTTCGTCTTTAATTCTTCATTAGATCGTAGGCTATCAGAGAGCCGCAACTGAAGTGTATCTCTTTCCTCCAGTAACTGCGTGAGTTCCATGGTTAATTCTTCACAGCGAACGTCTCTTTGATGCAGCATATATAAAGCTAAATCGAGTTCAGCTCTAGGGACGGCATCTAATAAGTCTTTGTTGATTAATCTGTCTGAAGGTTCTCCGTCTGAAGTCGATTTCGTGTCCGATGCAAATGTCACATGTTTTTCAATTTTGTTACTGGTTTTTTTTAATATTTGTTGCAAACTAAATATTTCATCTTTCAATGTAACTATTTCTAATTCTTGATTTTCGAGAGCAGTTTGCATTTCTGTACATTTCGTGGTATGCTCTTCCAAAGACTTATTCAAATCTGTTATTTGTTTATTAAGGTTTGTACATTCAACAATCTTGGAGTTTAAAGCTTCAGTCAAAGTAGATTTCTCAGCATCGAGTTTGGCTTGCACTTTATCATGACTTTCGACATTTTCATGCATTTTTAATCGAAGCAAAGCTAATTCAGATTCTTTTTCAAAACTTAAATCTTCGATCTTTTTCTCGTATTCAAGCATATGTTTTCGGACATTTTCGAACTCTTGATTCCTTTGCGTCAGCGTTATAGTGTATTCATTACATTTTTGATAAACTTCACTTTCTTTTATTTGCAACTGATTATTCAAATCGACTATTGTAGCTTCAAGTTTTTCTATATTTCCTTTTAAATCATCCACAGTTTTATTTAATTCAACATTTTTTTCTTTAACCGTGAAAAGTTCATTTTGATTGTTTATTGTATCTAATTCATATTTTTGTGCAAGTTCTTTATTTCGAAGTTCTAAGTCTTTTAACATATTTTCGTATTCTTCTTGTTGAGACAAAAATTTGTTTTCATATAGCAATTTTTCATCTTCTACTTCAGAACGCAGGATATCAAGTTGATTTATAGCCTCACCATATTTATCTTGCAGATTATACAAATGCTCCTCTTTGTCCGTTATTTTATTTTGAAGTGAATTAATTTGTTCCATCATAATTAATTTGTCAGTTTCTTCTTGACTAGATGATTGAATACTATCAAGAAGCTGTTCGTATTTTGTCTCAGACGCAGTTAACTCTGCTCTGAGCTCCTGTTCTGTTTTAAGAAAATCTGCTTCTCTTTGCGCTAAATGTTGTTTCCAAAGTTCCGCTATTTCAAATCCACGTTGATCGACAGCACTTGATACGGAAGAACGAAGTTCTGCCACAGTTGAGAGTAACTGATCATTTTCAGTGTTCAAATTTTGAATTTTAGAATTAAGCTCAACAATTTGTTGTTCATAATCTGTTATTTTATTCACCATTTCTTGGTTTGAACCGGCAGACTTGAATTCGGACAAATTCGAAGTTAAATTGTCCTTTTCAATTTTAATATTTTCTATTTTAGAATTAAGCAGAACAATTTGGTTTTCATAGTCAAGTATTTTCTGTTTCAGTTCTTGGTTTAGAGCTTCTAGTATCTCTAACTTTTCAGTAGTTTCATTAAAATTTTGTTGCAATTGTAAACAATTCTCTTCTAACGCCCCACATTTTTCGGATAATATCATATTATTTTCGCTTAGTCCCTGTTCCAAATTAATTTTGTTGTTTAATAAATCTATTTCAGATTGTAGTCCATCAATTTTAATATTAGCAACATTCTCTGCTTCTGTTGAAAGTTTTAATTTCCTTTCCAATTCGACGTATTTATCATTTAATTCTTTGTTAGCTTTTTCAAACTTACTTTGAATTTCATCATTTTCAGATTTCAACATTTCACACTGTTCTTTGGCCTCATTATAACGTAATTCTAAGTCCTTTAATTTTTGATTGGAAACATCAATGGTTTTTAACAATTCTGCGTTATGTTTTTCTAATTCACTTAAATGATCTTTAAGGATTTCACAATTCTTACAGACCTGTTGCTGTAATTGATGCTTAAGATTACTTATTTCATTTCTCAAATTTGCCTGCAGATTTGAAAATTCACTATTCTGTGCAGTCAACTGATCGACCAATCCTTGCAATTCATCATTTTCTTTCTCTAATTTAACTATTTCGTCTGTCACTACCTCCTCTCGAATATTTGTCTTATTTGTATTAGGTTTATGAATTGGTGAATCTTTACTATCTGCAGTCCAATGTAATGTTGCAATCTTGTCATTAACTTCTTTGAATCTAAATTTCCACAGCTCTATTTCACTATCTAATTTTTCTTTCATTTCCATCAATTTTTCATTTGCGGAACTAATAACCTCATTTTGTTTCTTAACAGATTCTTTTTCACGTTTTTCTTTTATTAGGTCGGCATTGAGCTCCTCCAGCTTTTTTTCTAAGTTCTGAATATTATTACGAAGCTCATCTTCTATAGCACTATCTAAGAATGAAGACTGTGACAATTGTCTTGACATTTTCAACTCATTTAATAGACTTTCATTATTAGATTTTAATTCTTTATATTTTTTTATCAATTTTAATAATTTTACGTTAGTTGTATCCAAGTCCTTCTTTAACAAATCATTATCTTTCTGTAGTTGATGCATGTCTTCCTTCAGTTGCGTTAGTCCCTGCACATTTTCCCCAACATCTTCAGATTCACCTAGGCCCCATCCTTCATCAGAATTAAACGGATCCGATTCTTCATTACTGTTAGCTTCACCTTTATAACAAAGATAGGCCTTTTTTGGAACTATTACTTCCTCAACAACATTTTTAGTACCATCACCAACGTCGTGCGACTTTTGTAATGTATCAGGTATAAAGATTTGAGATTGTTCGCACTGTATAGGTTCGCCAGTTACAATTTGTGATTCTAAATCAGAAATATCTAATTTGATAGGTTCTTCTATAGCTTCTATTGTAGACGAAATGAGCATGCCCTCAGTTTTAGGAATATTCATTTCAAAAGTTACTCGTTTTTTATCTTTGAGTTCTTTAATTTGGTCATCCTTCTGTGCTAATAACTGGTCTAGTTGCTCATTGGTTTCTTTAAGACTGATGTTTTCTTTCATAAGCCGGTCTATATCCTCGGTGGAACGTACCAGTTTATTAGATAATTCACTAATTTTACTTTCTAAATTAGAGACTGTGGCTACACCATTAATTTGTAATGTGTGCAATTTACCGTTAATTTCGTCTATTTCTTGATTTTTACTGTTTATTATTGAATTAAGCTTATTTATTTCACTAATGTACTGTTCGGTATAGTCAGGCGTAGCTGATTGTTCATAGGAAACAGATTTTACCATAAGTTCTTGATTTAATCTATTTACTTCTTCCATATTTATTTTTATTCTTTCGTTTTCGTTGTTATATTCTTGTAGCTTATTCTCAAGTCGTGTAACATGTTCACAAATTTTCTCATATTTTTCGCTCAAAATTTTCTTTTCTTTAATAGCGTTTTCTATTTGTGTATTAAACTCAGATTCCAAATCTTCAATATCTTGCTTCTTCTTGGTCATCATTGATTGATGTTCATGTATGATACGCCTATACTGACTTTCTAAATCTCGTAATTGAGACTGATACTTTAAGACTTCAGATTCAGCAGCTTCTGCTTTACTTGCTGTATCAATTAGGTTGTTATAATGTTCTTGAACATCACTTATAGATTTACGCAAACGTTGGTTTTCTTCAGTCAAGTTATGCATTTTATCTTGCAACTGTCTATTCTCAATTTCTATTTCATGAAGTTGTTTTTCTACCACCCTATCATGGTCTATAAGAACAGCTAACCTATTGATTAATTCGTCTTCTTGATTAGAATATTCAGAATAAGCTTTTTGCTTTTCTTGTAGTTGGCTATCTAACTGATCAGCTTTACGTTCAAGTGAAGACCTTCTGTCTTCCATGACAGATATACTTTCTTCAAGGCGACAAATACGACTTTTATATTTATTGATTTCTGTTTCTAAACTCTCAATATATAAATCCCGTTCCTGTACCTTCGCATCATGTCCGAATTGAAGACGGCTTAGTGACTGCTCTTGATTCTCTAGTTTTTGTAATAATTCTACAATTTGTGTCTGTTTTTGATTAATATCTGTTTCTAATGTTGATATTTTAGTTGTAAAATTCATATTATTCTTCTGTTCTATTTCATACTCCACTAGCTTGTTACTTAAAGAATCCACTTGTACCTTTAATTTCTGATTGTCTTCCTGAGCTAAATGAAGATCTTTGTGTGCATTATTCAAAGCGTCATTTAATTTATTTATTTCTTCTGATGTTAAATTTAATTTTTGATTCAATACGTCTATATCTTGATGTAAAAGCATGTTTTCCTGTGATTTTAGTTGTTCGACGATGGCTTTTTGTGATTGCAATCGATTAATCTCTTCTTCTGCATGCTTTAATTTTTCTTGCAAAGCAGGCAAGGTATCGACTTGTATAGAAAGTTGTTCCATAAGTTCATTTTTATATTCCAGATCTTTTTGAATGTTATGATATTGATTTTCCAATTCTATGTACATAGAAGACTTTTTCTTAATACTAATTGCACACTTTTTCAACTTTTCCATAAACTCTTTATTTTTTGTTTCAGCTGTTGCGAGGTTCTCAGACAGTTGGGCTTTCTCATTTGAAACTGCAATTACTTGTCGTTTTGTTTCTTCATTTATATGTGAATATTCTTCAATAGCTTTATCTTTTTCTGTTAAAAGAGTACGCAATTTTTCATTCTCTATTGATTCTTTTCTTAATTGTAATTTTATTTCATGTATTTCTTCATCACGTTCTTTTGATTGCAATTTAACATTTGACATTTCATCTACGTGTTTTTGTTGAAGGATCTGAAGCTCTTTTATAACATTTTGTTTTTCAATGAATAATTCTTGAAGCTTTTTTAGTTCCGCTTCGATGTTCATATTTTTATTTTCTAATGCTGCTTTGTGGGAAAGCAATTGATTTTTGTCTTCTTCTAAAATCTTAAGTTTCTCTTCATATTCACCCAATTTCTTTTGATAAACCGATATTTGCTTATTTAAGGTTTTTATCATATCAGCATTTTGATCCTTTGTTTTTTCTTCTTCAAGCATTTCAATTGTAGATTTTAACTTTTGTGAAACATCATTTAGTTTAGTTATTTGGTTAAGGTATTCTACCATTTCTTTATCTTTTTGCTGTAATGTGTTTCCGTAGTTTAATATCTGATTATCATATTCTATCAAAACGTTTTCTAGTTCATGTATTCTGGCATCACGAGCAGTAATAGTATTGGTATAATCTTGATGTGTTCTACGTAATTCATCTTGCAGTAATTCATTAGATTGCTTAAGCTGTATTAAATAGTCTTCATTTTCCTTATTTTTCATCATTTTTTCCTTCAATATCTGATTCTCATCTGTTAAACACTTAATTTTAGCTTCATAAGATGTAATTGCCTGTATTAATTCGTTTTGTTTTTGATGTTGTTCTTCCAGAGATAATATCTTCATCTGGCAATCACCAATTTCTGCTTCTCTCTCTTTAATTGTATTTTTCAATTTAAGGATTTCTTTAGTCAATTGTTTTACTGATTTATTTCTGTTGACACTCTTTTCACCTGAAGTCTTATCATCATGTTGTATTTCAGCAGATCCCTCTAAAGATTCTTCAACAACAATAGGTCTAATAGCTTCGGCATTTTCTTTTACAATGTCCAACTTCACATGTTTCAATTCTACAATTTGGCGGCTTAATTCGTCATTCAACGATTGAAGTTCATTCTTTTCTTGGTTCAATAAATCAATATTACTTTGTAGAGAACTACATTGATCATTCATTTGGTTTATTTCTAAATGTAGTTTTTCATTTTCAGAATTAATTGAATTCATTTTATCCATGACTTCTTGCCTCTCTTGAGTGAATAAATCAATCTTTTTATTTAATTCGGTAACATGTTCAGTTAAACTTTCTATTCTATTTTCTGTATTATGTGAGACATTTTCTGTACCAGATTCTTTAATTTCCATTATACCTTTATTGTATTCTTCCAACTCTAATTTTTCTTGAGTTGTTAATGATTCTACTATTTCTATAGACTCTGCTGAACTTACTTTCTCTGCTCCCATCTTTTCAAGTTTATCAGTAAGTTCAATATTTTCTTGAATATAACTTCCTAATTTTTGCATTAATTGTTCTTTTTCTTCTTGCAGAAGTTGTATTGTACCATTAAGCTGTTCTTTATCTAATTTTAGATTTTCTATTATGAGTTCTTGTTCTTTACGTGCAGCAATAAGCTCATCGATCTGTTCTTCTAATTGCACAGACTTCATTTCTGAACAAACTTGTTCATTATGAAGTTGTGACATATCCGCCAACTTATCCTCCATTTCAGAATTTTTTTGTTGTAAAACATGCAAATCTGTAAAAAAAAATATTATATAGCAATTTATTATGCAAATTGATCTTAACAACGCCTGGACCAATTTGGCCAATTTTTTTTTAATGTTCGTTGAAGTTCAAGGATGGTTTTTACGGCAAGATAAATTCGAATAATTGCCGAAAAAAGCCTTAAAAATAGCCTTTTTCTTTTTCCGATACAAACGTTTTTTATCTAAATGTAGAGTTGATTTGAGCTATATTGCTATTATATAAAGTTCACTGTTTTCTTAGTAATGCAGGTGTGTTCCTAACGTCATAGAGTCAATTTGCATTTTATTATCACTTTACAAATTCAAATTCAATCATATCTATAAAAACAGTGTGCGAGTGTGCGTTGGAGCACAGAATACATTGTTGAAGAATTCAATGTCGCGTTCTGAAACTCAACAAAAGTGATATCGCGGACCCGACCAAACACGCAAATAAAATAAAATAAATAGAATTCTTTTTCATTTTATAACGTTTTTATTTGTAAAATCGTACCCCTATTATTGAGATAAGAAATTTTTGTAGATTTTGAATTTAATAAATAAATACCTATTTAAGTATGTATTTACACAAAACTATTCAAAACAATTTTGTATTATTTAAAATACACCCTTTATTTTAAACACCATTGATTCTTTTTCTAATTAAACCCACGATTTACTCAATAATTATATAGCTCTGAAAGTGATAAAGCTGGCCATCAGAGCAGCGTATGCAACAAATGAATCTCGAGATTTATTCATTGTTTAACAATACATGAAAATTTGTAATTTAGCAGCGGCCAACGGCGTCGTAGCAATATGCGACAGACACCAAAAATCTAACGTGCGTAAACGAGACAGACGATTGCTCAATGAAATGGGTGAGATTTTTACGTTAGGCTAAGCCTTATGGATTGCAGAGCGGCAATGTCCATGATAGTACAGTCGAACGAGATTTGTGCCTATTTATATATGTAGTGTAAATTTAGAAATTATTGTAAATATCCATGAATAAAAATGAATCGCCGAAACGTATGTACGCGCATAACTTCCGAATTCCAGTTCCAACTGCATCAAATTGGATGATTCTATTTTTGTGTTCCACGATTCATGCCACGGTTAGTATATAAGATTTTTTTCTAAACGAGTATAAGGCGGTACGAAGTTCGCCGGGTCAGCTAGTTTGGAATAAATTATTTGAATTTGTAATATAGCTAGAAATACCTTGAACCAAATCGAATTTCTGTGCTTCCAAAACACTAATTGCTTTTAGTCTCGTTTCAGCCAAGTTTTCCATTTCAATCATTTTCTTATACACATCAGATTCTGTTACTGTAATAATAAAATTTAACACATTATAGACACATCACACATCAAATATATAAATAATTCAAGTTGTCTAAAAATAAAATATTTTTTGAAAAATACATGCAATAAAACCATTTAAAGGTTAACAAGTAATGTTAATGAAAATAAACAAAGTTTAAAACACTATTAAGTTTCAGATTTTTCTTTTTTTCATTTTATTGTATTTCAAATTAGTGGTATCTGAGTAATTTCTGTTAAACAAAAATGTATTTTACAATATAACAGACAACAATTTTAAACCATGTCATAATAAAATGAAACATACATCGTCCACTGTCATAGTCCACTAAGTGCAGTTGCAAATTGCCCTTTTCTTCTTCAAGTTCTGCTACTTTTTGGGATAATTGATGAAGCTCTTCATTTAGTTTTACAATTTCTGCATTAGTGTCTGATATTTTACTAAAATTATCAATTGTTTTTTGCATTTGTTTCAATTTAAGTTTGTGATTTGATTTAACTTTAATCATATTTTTATTAGCTAGATCAATTTCTTCATTTAATGAACCGATTTGTTGCTGAGCAATTTCTAACTGCTTTTGTAATTCAATTATTTCAGAATAATGACTAGTTTCCTCTCTTGCATATGGATCTACATTATCGTCTGGTATAGCTGGCGCCAAGTCTACAATATTGGGTTCTGCTAAATCAATTACATCTGTGCCAACATCCACTCTACAACGGGATTCTGTACGGGCTTTTAGATCAGTGATAATATCATCCTTTTCTTTATTTGAAGTTTGAAGTTCTGTTAATAATGTCTCTTTATGAGATATAGCATATTCCTTATCTAAAATATCCTTATTTAATGATTGAACCAACATTTCTAATTTAGCAATTTCGTTTTTATTAGTCTTTTTCTCTGTATCTTGCGGTAATGATTCAAGAGATATATTACTCCATGGAGATTTCATTTTGGACGCAGAGTTTCTACCTCCTTTACGACTTGGAAGAGGACTTGCTTTTTTGCTAGGAGAGCTGACAGCAGATATTTTGGGCTCATTCACATTCGAAAGTTTATTCTCCAATTCAATATTTGTTTGTCTGATTTGACAATTTAATTGCTCAAGCAATTCAATTTTTTTAGTCAACTCGACCATTTGTGAAATTTCCAGGGATCCTTTTTCTTCTTCAAAATCTTCTTTATTTTTGATAGACTTTTCTTCCTGAAGCTTTACTTCAGATAATGTTTTTATATTTTCTTGTAAATTTAATATTTCTTGATTCTTCTTTTCTATCTCTTCAAGTAGCTTGGAATTAGCTATAGTTACTTCAAACCTTGCATTTTCTAAAATTGTATTAGCTTCTTCTAAACTCTTGATTTTATCATCCTTTACCTCAATTTCTTTTAACAATCTCTGTCTCTCTTCTTTCCATTCTATTTCCATAGTGATAAAATTTTCTTGCATTTTAGCCATTTGATGCCTAGTATCTTCTAATAACAATAATGAATCTTTCTCTAAAAAAAATTTCTAAAGGTTATATTCTTATATATTTAACTATTTAATTGATTATTTTAATTATAATAATTCAATATTATTATAATAAAATTATACTTAGAAAAACACATATTAAAATTTTTCATATTACATATGAATTACATATTATAAAGTTTTTCAACTTTGTAACTGTTGTCAAATGCCTGTTGTAATATGATTTCTTTTTAAACATACCTTTCTTGCTTAAAGTATCAGACATAAGTGTAGTAGCCATATTTTTAGCTTCAATAATTTGATCTTTTTCATTAATCTTCTCTTGTAAATCGAGAATGGTTGTCTCCAATGCTTTTACCTTTACTTGCATGATACTTAACGATGTGTCTTTTTCTTTGATTGTTTTCATAAACTGAGTTACATCAACTTTATCTGAAGTCTAAAATAAAACATGGTGACATACAGGAACTTAAATACTGATTAAAAATTCTGTCTAATAATAGAATAATTATTGATGATTGATGTGCTATTGTAAAAACTATAAATCATGTTACTTTTCACTAATATAATTGTTAAAGCTATGTTAACACTTACTTTTTTTAACTCTAAATGAGTGTCTGTTGCCAAGTCTTTTTTGATAACTGATGATTTCATTGGTCTCTTACTTATTTCTTTATATTGTTTTATCTTTTCCATTAATATTTCTTTCTGTTTTAAAGTATTAGCTAAGCTTTCACTTATGCCAGGAACTGAAATAATGGCAAAATTATATTCACATACACAAATCTGACAAGTGAAAATTTGGCAGTTGCCAATCCTAAAAACCAACATGTAAAATTATTAGGAAACTATAAACCAGTAGCATTTTAATAACATGACAAAAAACTTATTATATTTAAATAAGTGCCTAGGGTATTCTTGCCAGAAATCAGATAACACAAGTAATTGAATAAGTAAAGGAAAATGTGAAGACCCTAAGAAGCATCTGGACAGAGTCAGGTTGTCTAGAACAAAAGAGCAGGCTTTTTATGTATAATGGATCGATAAAGACGTCTAAGTGTGAAAAATTTGAGCTGTGCATATACCTAAGTGAATAAGTTATTTTCTTGAATTTTTACACCCTTTTGGAATGACACACTCCTAAGCATATGCCTTTAGCTTAACCACTCAAACGGGGCCATGGGACCATGAACCCAAAAGTAACCAAAATTTTTTGTCAACTTACATCATGGTTACTAAAGGGACCACTAGTGGCAGTGTGGAAAAAATGTATTTAAGTTGGCAACTTCAATGATTGTGTATGTAATATGTGGTTTTTATGTAGTGTGTTTTTTTTTTGTTCCTGCCCTTACAAATTTACAATAACAATTTTAAGATAAATACTGTTTAAAGCATCCTGAACTGAGAGAGTGGTTGAAGTATCAGTTGCTACAGAGTACCCTGTCCGTTCACTCAAGGTGGATGCAGCTTCTGCTGTTTCCCCAACATCATCATCTTCTGTAAACAATATTGTATACTCTTTAAAACAAACAACATAATAATTAATTTGAAACAAACAAATACTATTTTATTTAATTTAAATTCTTCATCATTGACATTTAATGTTAACCCATTTGTCAGGGCATAATTGTTTAAATCACACATATATGCACCAGGGGACTGATGAGTTAAATAATATTAAATGTTGTTTTTAAGTAAAAAATATTTTACCAAAAGGACGTCCCAATAGTTCTGCTGTAGCTTTTCTGTGTTCTTTTATCCTTTTAGAGACAAGGGCAGCATTTTCTAATGCTTTTTGTGCTCTTTCAAATTTAAACTGCCTCTCTGATGATGATGAAACATGTTGCGACTAGAAAAAAACTATTCATAAGACTCAGTACTTAATAATAATTTTATTTTTGTGAACATATGGAATCATTCATCAGTTTTTATTCAATTCACTCATTGTAAGAAAATTTACTAAATAGGCAAAGTATGTAGTACAATTTATTTGTTGAATAAATTGTACTACATACTTTTCATCTTAAGAAATTCATTAAGGAGCTTTATTAAACTAATAAGCTTCCTTGTTCTAACTAAATTTTCTTTTAAACTTACTAATTTGCTCTTAAGAGGATTTTTCAAAGTTACATGCTTTTAATTAATTTTGATAATAAGTAACTAATCAAACTATCTGAACATCAAACATTTCGCAGTTAAAACTAATAAATTTATTGCGCATTCTGATCTGTATGAATGAAAAACTTTATGGTTCATATAAAAAAAATTGTTTGTTTATTTGAATGGCTTTTCGATGGTTTATACCTTAGTCGATTTTACGCTTTCAGCAACGCTGTTATCTTCTTTTCTTGTTACTATATTAGGGTTAACATCATCCAGTAGTTCCCCTTCACGGGATTTATCGACATTTTTTGGATCCGCCATGACCTAATACACTTTGCGGACATGAATGTCGAAGGAATCTCTCTGTTTAGCACTTAAATACAGGAGTGTAAGAGAAAAATGTAATCAAAACAAATGTGATTAAACTCAAAATTTACCACAGTTATCAAAATATTTTGCCACCACTACATTTATCTTGGCGATCGCCAGCCATTGTAATTCTTTTAATAACACGTCATCTGTCTGTCAATGTCAAAGTTCCACAGACTTAGTAAAGTTCTGAAAGCAGTAGTTTTTTTAATATTTGTATTCTACGGCTCTGGATTACTGTCTTTCGACTGACGTGACAATTTAAGATCCTGCCCGATGCCTGGATTTTTTATTTCAAAAATTGTTTTTTTTTCTGAATTCGTAACTTTCCATTAATAAACCCTTTTCATTCATTCACCACACACTTATAAAAACAATATGAAAAATCCAAAAACTGATTGTTATTCAACTAACATCTAATAAAAACATATAATGAAAAAGGCCGGCTATACCGTTAAAGATCAAAACTATTTTAATTTTAAAAGAACTAAGTCGCGTTAATATTATTTTAAAATTTTCATAAATGCTATTTTTTAAACATCTGAGTTAAAAATTACGTGATTTTTAAAGCAATGAAATACTTTAATAAACTTCTATGATCCCTTTGTACTAAAAAATGATAATTTATTCAAAGCTTCATTCGTCTTGCTAAATCGAGTTTCGTTCGCGAATTATTATTATAATTTTCAACTCGATATTTTCCGAGATGTCACATCCATAGCAAAGTTAAGACTAAAGATAAAGTTATTTAAATTTTTTGTCCATAGGCAACACTGTTCTATGCTCGTTGACTAAATGTCACTAGAGTTTGGCAAGCGAAACGTGACACCACCTATTTTTCCGTTTTCATATGGCAACAACATAGAACTGTCAGTTTGACACTACGTTAGACAATTCAAGAATATTGAATTTTGTTGTTTTTGCGAATTTGAACTTGTGTTTTTGGTTAAAAATTATGTCGAAGCCGATAAAAAGTTCATCGAGGAAACTTCTTTCCATCATGATTGACAAGTTTACTGAAGTGAAAACTGAATTAAATAAAAATTTCATGGAGAAATTACAACGATTAGATAAAGTTGTATCTTTTTTAGGTTAGTTTTGTATTATAATTTTGATACTTTCGTTTTAATTTTCTGTAATTAACTAAACAGATATTTTTTATAAAATATTGCTCTATTTCAGATAACTGTGATGGTGATATTCAACCAATAATGGAGGAGATAAATGCAATAAAAACTTTAGAAAAACAAGAAATGCTGAATTCGGAAACGCAGTACTTACAAAAAATTTCTTCAATGACAGGTCTCTTTTCTTGTTTTGATTTAAGATAGATTGATAGTATTCCTATAATATTTACATAGGTTTTTTATGATGTATTGGTTTTTATTGTTGACATCCAATGATGTCATAAGAATGTTTTGTTTAACAAGGAAATTCACAGAATTCATGAAACTAATCAAACCATGTAATTGTTATACATGCTAAATATGCACATAAACTTAACTAAATTAAACATAAATTGCATTCATAGTTGAATAGGTATTTAAATTATTTTGATGTATGTGTCTATCATTATTTGCTTTTAAATACATTTAACATATCTTTGTTTCAAAGTGTTTAATCTTTTATAGATGTAAGTATAAGGACACTAAGAAGGATAAAAAATGAAGCATTAATTAATAAAGGAAAATGGGACACTCCTGGGAAAAAACGACCTCATCAACCAACAGTGTCTGCTTTAGATAATTTTGATTTAAGTGCAATTCGGAATAAAGTAAATGAATTTTACTGTGTGAAAAAAATTGTTCCAACATTAAGAAGCCTTCACAATGAATTAAAAGATGCAATAGGATTCAGTGGTAGCCGTGAGACTTTACGAAAAATTATGCTTAAGAATGGATTTTCTTTTAAAAGCAATGAAAATGAATGTTCTATGCTTATAGAAAAATACCAGATTTCTGCATGGAGGCACAAGTATTTGAGAGAAATAAATATAAAACGAAACGAAGGAAAGCAAATTGTGTACCTTGATGAAACTTATGTACATCAGAATTATAAAGTTAAAAAGTCTTGGCAAGGACCTTCAACAACTGGTGTCACTACAAAGATATCCTCTGGAAAACGGCATATTGTTGTGCATGCTGGATCTGAGGAAGGTTTTGTGCCTGGTGCATTATTAGTGTTCAGTAGTAAATCCAAATCTGCTGATTATCATGATGATATGAACTCATCGAACTTTATGAAATGGGTCAGAGAAAAATTAATACCAAATTTAAGTAAGCCCAGTGTAATTGTTATGGATAATGCCAGCTACCATATAAAACAAATCAATAAACCGCCTATAATGTCTAATACCAAAGCAGATATCCGTAAATGGCTTGTAAATAATGGAATACATTTTGAGGAATATCAGACAAAGGCAGAGTTAATGTGTTTGGTTAATGATAAGAAAACATTGCCTGTATATGAAGCTGAAGAGATTTTAAAAGAACATAATCATGAACTTTTATTGCTGCCACCGTATCATTGTGACTTAAACCCAATAGAGATGGTTTGGAGTCAAGCAAAAAGAAAAATTGCAAGCAGAAACATTGGAATACCAGGAAAGGAAATGGAAAACTTAATAATAGAGTGTTTTAACTTAATTACCCCTAGTGACTGGAAGAAATACACTGATCATGTTTTAAATGTCGAAAATGATTACAAATTAAAAGATGGCATTGTTGAAAACGAACTTGAAAAATTTATTATATCTGTTGGTGCAGACAGTAGTGAAGAGAGTGACTCTGATGATTCCTTGTCATTGTTATCAGGTGTAGAATATTTAGAAACAGATTTTGACTATGAATCAGACTAAAGTATTTTTAGTCTGATTCATAGTCAAAATCTTATCTTAAATTTTCTATTGTGATTAACATGATGATTTTGTGACACCTGTATTATGTAATTTATCCATGGCACTTAATTGTAACAAAAATAAATGTTTTTTTTATTGTAATCTGGTGTTTATATTGACTAATTTAATTTGATAGATAGTGGTTCTGGATCAGAGCAAAAGGTTGTGATGAAAATCCCTTAGGAGACATGTATGTGTTATGAACACATTATAAATATAAGGGCCAGAAATCAAAATTGGCTAACATCACATTTATTAAAAAAATGTGGCCAGAGTCGCCCATATTCATTACAAAAAAACAAAGAAGTCGTTGCAAAAAACACCCTTTTAATTAATGACAAATATGAATTTTTAATATTATAAGTGCTGTTAGCCAATAGGTATAACGAATGGGTTAAAAAAAAGATTCGATTTAGTCCGTCAGTCAGATAATAGAAAAATATTGGATACGTATTTTTTTTCGCTTTAATTTAACAACAAATGGCTTAAGAGGTACTATGCGACGACTTCAAATATGCTTTGCAACAATGTTACTTTAATACAGTTTATCGATACGAAATCAAGTGTCAAAATGGAGTCCAGTGGAGAATGCCGATATTGACATTTCGAAATTGCTCATCATTGATAGAGAATACGAAATAGTGATTTTGACACAATCAAAGTGTCTATTTTTTACGGTGATGACGATTCTTGGTTGTCAGTTGAGTTAGTGAATAGGCCTACTGATATGCTGTTAACTGTACAATTAAGAACAGTCACGCTTTAGTCAAATGTTCCAAAACAAATAATTTTAATTGATATCTAAATGTTAAGATTAAATATAATTAATAAAAGTATCAAAATTATTTTGCAGTACTACATTCAGTGTTTACTGCTTAAGAATTTTTGAAATTGCCGCCCTTTTCTTGTGACACGTTTCGCTTGCCAGACTCTATATAAAATCCAACTTATTATTCTGAGGCAGTGAGGAAATAAAATTTAAATTGGATAATTGTCTATATCATTCAAATTTAGTAAATTGAGTATCGACAGTTAATAAAGCCCTGACTTCTATGTAATTGTGGTTACGTGTATATATTTAATGTTCTAACAATTATAATATTTATGTATTTTTATTTTTTGTTTGTTTCAGTCCAGTACTAACACAAAAAGTCCAACTGTATCAATCGAAGATTTATACAACTGTAATCACTTCGTTTCTAGCTTACGAATCCTTTGTGTTCACATCAATATACTTGCTTATCCAATATACTTCCGACATTGGCAGAATAGTCGACACCGGCTCTATTTGCCATCAATAAAAAATAGAATATAATAGACAGTTAATAAATATGACATCGTTGTGTGTTTCTTATAATATCGAACTTTCAAATTAATTTTAATTCATTTTAATAGTAAAGTTTAAGTTATTTATTTTGTTACGTGTAAAGGAACGAATTTGGTTTATACTATGTCAACATTAGTGATGAGCGCTAACATATTACTAATCTGTGTGGGCCAACTTATTGGTTGCTCCTAACTTCAATTTATTCAATTCATCAGAATTCAAGTTTGAAATGAAGAAGAGCGCAGAATTCAGCTTGTTTTTTTATATGCAGTATTTCCACGTCGAACGATATTAATATAAATATCAAAATCAATTCAGTGTAGGCTGTTACATAGTACTTGTGAAAGTCGAAAACTATGCCAACGGTTCACAAAACCAAGGGGTGAGAACTTGTACTGAGAAGAACCGGCTAGAAACTCAGCAAGGGCTACTTTTTTTCTCCCCGTTTTATTTCACACAGAGAAGTCATATTGGAATTTGACGTAATTAGACTAAAAGGTAACTGGTAGCTTGACGCATGATCCAGCCATCACTTCGCTCAACTATAATCTGTCTATAAAGTCATGAAAAGAATGTTTGAGGATTATCTTGACGAGAGTTGCATTCACTCTTCATTTAAATTGAATGTATTTCTATATAAATAAGTACCATTTTTTCCCCAAGGTTCGAAAAGGAAAGCGATTTATAATTATAATTATATGCAATCGGGTCTTGTTCGTGCATTTTTTAAAACAATTACCGTAAGTGCAGTGTGTCGCCACCTTTACGTATAATAAAATCAAGTGGAGGGTACATCTGAAAATCAGTTAAAAACATTATTACCGGATTACCCTCAACTAAAATCAGAAGACGACACCCGCCAGTTCTCCAGTCTCCTTGTGACCACGGCTGCTGTAACGTAGCCGAAACGTCGAGGTAAATTAATTGTTTTAAAAAATGCACGAACAA